GGTGTGTGTTTTTGTGTATAAAAAAAAAAACACGAACATGCGTCTCATAGCGTCGTCTGGCGCTGGCAGAAACCTTTTCTGGGCTAATGACATTGACATTCATGTTCATTGTGCTGCTGCTCCCGTGCTGCTCTGAAGAGCCTGGAGACAGAAAAAGGACCATTTCCACATTTTATCCAATTATAAGGCGTTTTAAATTTCCAGTATCCAACAGCTAACCCCACCTTAGCCTCACATTTTACAATTCTATGAGACACCAGTGAAAAGTACCTTTGTCTAACATGTGATTTATTTGATTTGCGAGTATTTGAACAGTGCATGCGCCAGAAACTGTGAAATTTAACACATACTCTTCTATTGCACTGATTGTAGGTCACCTAGATTACAAATAAGTTAAATGCCAAACCAGAACCCTAACACTAAGATCAGTCATACTTTATAGATTGCACATTCATACAGTGCAAGCCGCACTTAGGTGGACTCAAAGCCCAAGTGTATGAAAACAGGTGTGACTGTTTCATACTGCAGCAGCATCTTAAGGTTAGAAATAGACAGTATATAGAGGAGCTGTGATGTACTGCAGAAAGATGCTAATCAGACAGGGCTGAACACAGTACCTGTGGTGCTAAGCAATGATCCTTTGGGGTTTTGAAGAGTCACGCTTTCAGACATTTCTCTGCAGGGTCACAAGGTCAACATTTATTTATTTATAACATTTAAGCGATAAATACTTCATATGGTTCAGTCATCTCTGTGGCGCATTACATTTTTTTACCTGATGTTTCTCTCCTCAAAGAATTTGGTCCGACATTTCTGAATAATGTGGTCCACCAAGTCTGACTCAGGGATTCTTTTTTCAGACTGTCTGTCCTTCTCAAAGGATTTCACCTGAAAACAAAGACGACTAGCATGTGCTACTGTATACAATCTTTCTACAGTTTTATCTGATCAAACATTTTGTAAAGCACTGATGTGCAATGCTGCTCACAGAAAGGGTGTTACAAAAGAAAACACTGCCCGTTGTAAAATGTAGTCTGCCAAGTTTATGCAAGTTACACATCAGTGGATTTCTTGATGTGACTGAGCATAATACTCGATGGTATGCTGTAGTGTAAGGCTGATTTACCTTGACATAGTTGCCCTCCTTGTCAGAAACCAGGGCCAAGCAGGTGATGCCGGCCAGCCTGCAGTGGTCCAACAAGGTCTCCTGAGACTGAACGCACAAAATAACAAAAGGCTGAATTAATCACATGCACTTTGGGTGGTGGTTTAAGGTTTGACTCACCTGTACCAGGCTAAACATAAGAATATTCACTGACAACACACAGCACCATAAGAACCATTCAGTGATGGAATTTGGCTGCACTGTCTTAAAGATGATTAGATCTTTCTGCAAAAAGCTGATGGTTTGCAGCCCACCTACAAGTTTTACAGCATGTTTTTCTTATCAATTACTTAAAACAAAAATCACAAGACAAGCTTGGAAAGAAATTGAAGAAATTCTATAATAAAGGTGCCGTAGTTACCCTTTTAAGTGTGTGTTGAAAGTGTGAGGAAAAGACATGGATACTACTCAACTAAAGCATTAAGGACAGAAAATCTTGAAAAAATACGAGAGCTCATGCTGGGGGAACAATGCATGCCTGGTCTCTGACACCAGTCATTCAGTTTAGTTTGGCTTGGGAAAAAGAAGCGTGTGTGTGCGCTGTGCATTTCCAAAACCAACACGTATTCAGATAATGCATTCAGTACATAACCGTGTACTCTATGTACAGTATGTTTGTATTAGCCCAATGTTTTCTCATTAACTTCAGTTTAGCTCCTCTGCTAGATGAGCTGATGATGGTGCAAAACAAACCCTGCAGTGGAAAACAGTTGTGTCGCTTTACATGATGGTGAGGAAGTTTTAAATTCTTCTTTTCTTACAACTTTCATATTGACAGAACATATCAAGTCAAAGCTAAGCTGGTGCCTGGAGGCAGATGGGAAGCTCCGGGTCATGCACCGTAGCCGACTGCATGTGGAAGGGGTTTACAATATTTAGCTAATACAAGGTAAAAGACTGGAACCATCTTCTGAGGGTGAATTAAAGTTGCAGATTCGGCTTGTTAAGAGGCGCCTGCATACATAAATCAATTAAAACTCACATAAGCGCTCTTTATGATTTGGAACATAATGCCATTTGTTTCCACTCAAACCCAAACTTTCCTAATCGCTCCTATGGACTCAGGGGAAAAGAAGGCAGCCAATCACTAACATCCTGCGTCAGCATGAAAACAATGAAGTCCATTAAAGCAAAATACTTAACCACGCAGAAGTGGAAAGTTAAAACAACAACAGGTTATAAAGGAGGAAAAAAACATGAGTAGTAATAAAATGTGGCTATGACAGGGAGGGCATTCTACACAAACATTAACATGGCTGAGATCAGTTTGTCACATAAATATGAAGAATGTGACAAAGCCATGGCATCAGGAGTTTTGGACCAGAGGATGAATGCCATAACTCTGAAGGTGCTGATCTCAGCTTGGTTGCTCTCCATTCACAGTAGATACGGTTTTTGCTACCGAGTACTCATAACTTTATTAGAAGCCCTGTGTTGCGTTATCTTCACGTGGCCAGTAAGTTCGCACCACCAAAAAGTGCAGCTCTTTCTTAGGGATGTTTACCATTTCTGATGCTGTCACAAGGGGCATTTTTTTTTATCCCTCAAGGGAGGAAGTCAGGTGTGGCCCTCTGTAGTAGGGATGCGGCACAGGGTGCATACAAAACTTACCAATTTTACACAATGAAAGATTTCCTTTATCCATTTAGAATTAAATCTACAAAGTCAGAAATGTGGTTGAGTTTAAACATGCAACAAACACAAGGGCTTAATTTAATGACCGGTTAGTAGATGAACACAGATTCAGTGAAACTGATCCCTCTGCCTGAACAACTTCATGTACAGTGCTGCTCTAGCTGTGTCTTCTGGGACTTACCAAAAAGTAGAATCAGCTTCCTTTAGCTTATTTATATTTAGGCTTGGGATATGATGGCACTGACTTGACTATGTTTCTAGTATTTATTACATATTTTTCCTGCATTATGAGATGCCTTCTACATCACAAATGCAGAGCTGTCCTTTAGCCACATACAAGAAGCATATTACTTTCATGGGGGAAAAAACATTATGGCTTACACGTATAAAGATTTCTTCACGTGCAAAAAGGTACCGACAGTTATTTATAAATACAAGCAAGCATAAAATGCTCACTGCAGAGCATTCAGCAGGTAAAATCCCTTTTCAACTGCCAATTCTCAACTGATGACATTCCAAAGACTCCAAACTGGTGGAGTTTCACACTGCTCTACAGGTACTGGTAACACTCCAGTAAATGCATAAGAAGGTGAACAGCTTTGTTTACAAGAAAACTTCACACATGGATCAAAACTGACTTGATTTGGGATTTGACAATGAAACCATTCAGACCATGAACACAGGCAGGCTGCTAACCTGTGAGATCTCATAGGAGATGTCTGCAGAGACACCAGTGCTCCACAGCTTCTGGACAACCTTGATGGCTCGGGACACTGACGAATAGCCTGCTGGGAACACCAGGACATCACAGGAGCTCATCGATGGCTGACAGAGAGAAAAACAGGGAATATGAATTGAATACTGAAAAATGGAGGGAAATAACTTTAGTCGTTTGTAATAATTTCAGTGCTCATCTGTCTTCAGACTTGTGCGGTTTTCTACACATCATTCTGCATTCTGAATATAGAAAATGATGCATGTCCAGTTAACTCTATGGCAACAGTAGTTATTAACATGTTTCTAAAAGTGGCTGTGTGGCAGCCGACTACTGTAATAAGACATCATTAAATATGAAACTGTCTGCTGCTCTGTCATTACAATAATTAAGAATGTCAAATCTGTGTGTGTGTCTCTTACTGGCTCCTCCGTGTTGGCCATAGCAGCATAGACCTTGTCCATGGACATACTGGCCCCTACTGCAGAGGGCACTGGTGACGTTGAAGCAGGCCCTCGAAACTCCAGGATCTACAGTAGCACCACAAAAAACAAACCACATAAGGATAACAAGTAGACTGCATCACCAACAGTGCATCATGTAGAATTAATGGGAATCAGATAGAGGAGCTAGATTTGAGAAAGATACTATATATAATGTATGTGAAAAAATATTTTAGAAATAAAGTTGAATGGGATGAACGAGTGTAAAACCTACCATGTGGTCATAGCGTCCTCCAGCAGCCACTATGTCTGGTACAGTTCGCTTGCGTTTCTTGATGAAAGCCACAAACTGAAATATGACCCCAGAATGGTGCTGTACTTTGTACACTAAGCCTAAATTTACCACCACCTACACAGAAGATAAACCTGCATTAAAAGGTGAGTGGAAAAAAACTAATTATGTGGCTCTACTTCTTATTTCCTTCTACCCAGAATCCAAATCACCTGTAGTTTAACTCCCAGCCTCCGCAGCAGCACTGTGAGCTCCTCCAGGTCCTTGAGACCCTGCTTAGCCAGCTGGGTGACAGCAGTCTTTTGTTTGGTAAGGGATGTCAGCAGTGGCACCAGGTCCTGCAGATTCCCCTTCTGTTCTATGTACTTGTACAGTGTCTGCAACTGGAGGAAGAGAACAGAGGAGGAGAGATCTCAGTGTTTATGAGCGAGTACAAGTTTGCCACTGCAGACTGATTATTTTTAGAGGTGGTTCACGTACACTGTTGTTGGACAGTGAAAAGTTGTAGAACTTTGCCTCCACCTCACGTTTGGTCAGCTTTTCACTCTGAACCAAATACACAAAAAGCCATCTGAAATGTTAGACTACCATATTTGGCAGAACAACTTCATCAGGAACAGACACGTCATGTGAATAACATGTGCAATGCAGGTGTGACCTGCACTAACCATGGCATCACACAGTATGTTGTACGCCTGGCTCAGTTTGTCCTCGGGGACTCCGCTGTGGAGCAGGATGGCCTTCAACAAGCTGGTGTGGTTCAGGTAAATGTTATAGTTCCTTTCCTGTGGTTGCAACACATACACAACACCCCTTTAAACCTCTCAGCAACTACAGTCAATGCCAATAGCAATAAAGTACAATGAGTACCTCAGTGTATACTGAGTGATGTGTCTAGCTGCCCTGTCATTCTGTCCTACTCATATATTCTTTCTCACATAAGCTTTCACACAAAGGGCTGCACGGTGGAGGATCAAATACAAGATCTATGAGGGCATGAACTACAGGCCAGACCTGTGGTTGAACAAGTTCACAAAACATACAAGGAGGGCTGCAACTGGAAACTGACACAGCACTGGGATATGTGGGCAAGAGATGGATTGTACTGGGAGGGAGGGAAGGAAGTGGACAGAGCTGCACACAACAGATTTACTGTGTACATAATAAATACAGTCAGGATTATGCATACTTTGGTATGTTAGGAATGTGAATTGGAAGTAAAAGGGAAAAAACAACAACAGGACAGGTTAAGACGCTGGCATCCGTAGGAAAATAAAGAACAATTAAGTGTCGAGGCCATTCAACAAACTGTTCTGTCTGACTGTGAATCAAGATAAGGCAGCACAGCACAAAATGTTGGCTCACTGCTCTATTTATTACAGGCAGTTCATGTATGTAACCTGAAGTGCAGGGAACTCCTGGATTATTTCAGAGATGGTGTAAATGGTCTCAGCATCTGGGAGCAGGCTGTTGGTGATGGGTGTGATGATGTCAAATGCACACTCGAGAAGCTCCCTTGGGTGTGCATGGTCAGGCTTCTTTGGGCGGAACACACGATCGATGCTGTACCTGTGGAATGATGAAGACAAACAGACGTGCTGTGTCTATTTTCAACATGAATTTCTCAAGAGAAACAGAACACGTCATACTGGTTAGATGTTAAATACTGTCATCATGTAGCTGTAGTGAATTTGCTTGTCAGTGCTTTTGGTCAAATAGGCCCTGAGGTGGCACCAAGGTTCATCCGACTAAGCGGAAGGTCACACTGAACACAGTAAAATGCAACTCCCTGCTGTGTTTTTACGCAAGGGGCTATGTTGGTCAGGGGGTGACGGGCTGTGGGAGGAGGAGTTTTGTTGGTGTGTACAATACGGCCACATTGTTACGAGTCGGAGTGAGTAGCTTCATCACATTTCCAGCTAGTGAGTTTGTTGTGTGTTGGTTAGACATGCTGCTAATCTAGCCTATTCTACCTTAGCACCAATTTCTACCATGAGTGTGTCGGCACAGAGATAAAAAACACTGTTTAACATCCAGTACCCTAACTAAAGAAAACACATGACATGTCGTTATGGTGAAATTCAAGAGTGAATAGCTGTGAATACCCATTCTAACAGAGTAAACAAGAGAGTCGTCTTCTCGTGGGTGTCCACATTCTGACTGTCCCCTGTACATGACTGGTCAATGCAGCACCTATGCTGGATGATGTCACCATCCAGTGCTGGCAAAAGTTGAATCACATCCAACTTTTTTGCCACACGGGGACACATTGTTTTGCTGGAGCCCCTTGCAGTGCTGGAGCCAGCTGCGGTGAATGCAATCCCCCATAGAAATGAACGGAGAGTGCTGCATTTTTTTCACGTCTTTGAAACTCGGAAAAACGGAGCACTAGTTATACAGGTGACCAGGCTTACTGAGGAAGAAAACATGTTACTTAATGAGGATTTAACTTAATTTGCTCATGAAGGAGCACGAAGAGCTCTTAAGTAAAAAGAAATGCATGTATACACACACACACACACACACACACAGAGAACACCACCAATAAGTTAGTAACATACAAAATGACGTTTGCTTCCAACTTCCTTATTATTGCTACTCATGTAATCAAACATTTACTGCTATAAATGTGTTAAATCATCCATCTTTACCTTTTCAAATGCGTTACATTATTTCGGGCAACAAATCTTGCAAACGACATCTAAAGAGAAAACAGAGTTGAGACATTGGGGACACTTATATCATGACAGTGAAATCAATGCATACTAAGCTGTAATCAATCACAGAGTGGAAACAACCACTTAGACCTCAGGGTTTCCTGAGGTAGCGAGATCAGTAGGCGGCTGCTAATTGCAGGAAGAAAACATGTTACTTAATGAGGACTTAACTTAATTTGCTCATGAAGGAGCATGAAGAGCTCTTAAGTAAAAAGAAATGCATGTATATATACACACACACACACACACACACACACAGAGAGAACACCACCAATAAGTTAGTAACATACACACATTAAACAAGTCTAGTGTACTCACCATGCTGCTAACATAGCTGCTAATTGCAGCCGCCTACTGCGTGTGTCTGATGCATAGTCAGATAATTAGTGGTATTTGTGTGCAAGCGTGAACATGCATGCCTGTAAGCTGTGAGCGTGCGTGTGCTGGACTCACACGAAGGTCATAGGGCAGTGTAACCAGCATTCCACTGTGGTCCATGAAGCAGGCAAGCTCACTGCTGTCATACAACTTCCTGTTTCTGGGGAGGAGCAGTGGTGTCTGGAGACGCACTGCACCTGAAGTCAAACACCGTGTGTCACTGCAACATCTGCATGAGTTAACATAACCCTCACCGTAAAAGAACAGATGCAAGTGAGCAGTTTCAAACTGAGCATAAACAATAAGTACAGCTGGACATCATCAGTGTGCACAAAAACAACACTGGTGCCTGAACAGAATCTACACTGGCCAACACTGAGCTTATTGTTTACCCGCCACATACTATAGCAGATGTTTGGGTCCTTACAAAATAGGCTTACAGCTGGTCAGGAGTCCAACCGCTTTGCAGTGGATAGGTAACAAAGGCTCATGTTCACATGCACACACATTAAACAAGTCTAGTGTACTCACCATGCTTCTTGAAGATCCTGGTGATTGTTTCATACACATGCTGCTGCAATTTGGCACTGTTGAAGCTGAAGCTGCCCTGGGGGGGGAACCAAACAAACAGCCTCTTTTAGAGATCAGGAGACATCGATTAAACACAAACAGGCCTTCTGCTCGTCTGTTATATGCAGACCAGATGAGTGAAGCAGCACAGAGTGGTTAGTATGGTCATTTATGAGCCTGCAGTGACATCTACAGGTGGAGGATCAAAAAACAAGGGACCGTTTTCCTAATAAGCTTCCAGTCCAAAGGTGCAAGTCAACAAAAACTCAACTGTGAGTTTTCTTTAAAAAAAAAAGATTGGATTCATCTTTGGTTTCATGTATTCATGGTACTTATGGTATTTTACACCAAATATCAACAACCCAAACTTCTCAGTAACCTAGATTTTTTAATACTGAAAATGCCACACGTTTTATTTACACTACCAGTCAAAAGCTTGGACACACTTTCCCATTCCATTAAAAGGGAAACTTGGCTTGTAGCGTAAATAAACTTAAGCACTCATAACAATCCAGCACAGAAAAGGTACAGTCAAAACAATAAAACATAATCCACTCTCAAAAGCTCAGCTCAAGCAGAGATCCCACCTTGTGCAAGTCCATGTCGTAGGCGTAGTCCATGACTAGTGAGGTTTTCTGTGCAAACAGCTGGCCCACCATGGTGCGGTAGGCCTTGCCGTTGATGTTGGCCATGGTGTGCTGCAGCACCTCATGCAGCTCTGACTCCTCCATCTGAGGCGGAGGCAGCAGTTCACTCTTCAGCAGCTCCTGGGCGGTGGGCCGCAGGGCTGGGTCGTGATTCAGCAGCCACTCAATCACCTTCTTGTGACGCATCTGTGAAAGGGTGAAGAGGTATTTTATTGTTAAGACTGGAATTTTAGGCAGGAAAAAAGATTCATAACAGCTGTGTGCTACAGTGTCCTTACCTGTGTTCCTTGTTCATACACAGTAAAGTCCTCAGGGAAGGCAATGGGCTCCTGCAGCGTCAAAAGAGATGAGGTAAGCACAAAACACCACAAACTTATTCCCCTCATTATTTCCAACTCTGAAAAATGGACATACTGCACGTAGCTTGCTCAGGACAGAGATGCGCTCTGCTCCAGTGGTCATCGGCCGGTAGGACATCTCAAAGAGGATGATGCCCAGGCTAAACAGATCAACTTTCTGAGAACCATAAATATGAGGCACTGAAAACCACACAACAATTGTTGTTTAAATAAACACAGAAAATGTAGGATTTAGGGTTGTGCTTACAAGCAAAAGTCTTAGAGCCAAATGCACAAAGTTAATTATTAACTCCGTCTGTCAATTCAAGCAGTAAAGAGATCAAAATTTGAAATCTTACTTGGTTGTAGGAGGCTTTGGTATTTCCTTGAACCTCTGGGCTGACATAGAGGGCAGTACCAACCATGCCTGTCATGTTACCTGGAGACAGAGATGCAAAAAGCAACACTGAGTGTCAGGGAAGAGCACAGACATCAGGGAACACTGTATCAGCATCAAACTCTCTGTACCTGTTGGGTCTGGTTTGGGCATCACTGCAGAAACAACATCCTCCACCTCAAATATACCTGCAGCCTGAGACAAAGTAGTATGTTTATATATCTTCAATTCACAATCTTTTTCACATCACATAGCCTTAATACATCGTAGACCCCCTGCAGTTTCCCTACCGGGCAAACAGGTCAGTGGACGATGCAGTGAACATGACACTGCATTACATCCTGCAACACCTTTGTGGACTTCAGCT